TAAATCAATTAAAGTTGAAAAAAGGAAAGAGTTATCAGCCATTTAGGTCCATTGCGGCGTTCCTGTTATGCGAATATTGGTCTACAGTGTTTCATCGTCAGACCAAATGCAATTGTAGAAAAACTGGTTGACATCTTTGACTGTGAGTTATCATTAGGCAGAAAATTTTCAGCTACCTCGCGATTTCTACATTGTATATAACTAAGCTTCTCCTAGCATTAACGTTTCATGAATATACATATGTCTTTTTTTCGGTAATTTTTTTAAATAAATAAATATTTGCAGTATTTTTAATTGTTTAGTCACATTAGTACTAAATAAACAGGTCCGACGATGCTGTGGCAAATTAACCGAACACTTATCGGAACTTTTCGAAGTGTTAAGTTTGCTTGTCGTAAGATTTCGTCAGTGTCCGGCTAAGCAGGCCATAAACGAGAGTTTTCAACATCCGATATATAGAAACTACTAAGTGCACGGGCCAGCGTGCACTTTGTACGTATATACCATCCACTGGTATCGGTTTAGAGGGTCACCGTTAAAGCTGTTAATTACATGAGCAGATTCGATTTTTCAAACGGGCTAGAATAACGTAAGCTCGGAAAAATGGTGTTTACGTCCACCATTTAGCAATTATATGCTAGGGTGTCCTTAGCCAAACTTACTTATGAGTATTCTATATGATAGAAGATTCTCAACCGTCTGTGACTCACCGAAGATACTACTACCCTCTCGAAGTCTTTGACATGCTTTTTTGGTGTTCGATTTATCACGATCGATCGAAGAAACAACCAGGTGCTTAACATAATCCACATATACGAAAGGCTGTAACTTTTACTTGCAATGCTGAATTCTTAATAGATCTAATACTTAGTATTTGTCAAAAACCGAAACTCACCTAAGACCCGTAAATTCTGCCACGTAAGAAAACCCAATTCGGACCAACAGGTAACTATAATGTATTAGAACTCCGGTTACCTTAGTCTCTACTAGTCTTTTAGATCATATCAATAATGGAATTGGTATTGCTTTTTACCGCCTACAACTGACTGATGTACAACACTGTAGGATGTTAGAAATTATTATTTTTTTTTTTTTTTATGAAAACAGTGCCTCCACAGCGGATTTTTGGGCATCTAGCCATTTTCTAAACACACTCAAATATGACGACCAGAATCAGTATGATTTAGTATTATTACATGTTCATGATTAGTTGAGTTACTACTCCGATCTTCTGTTTATAAAAACGTGTAGGTCAAAATAAAATATTAAGGTTTTCATTTACAATTTTCGATCAAATAATTTGTCAGCAGCCTATGATCAGATTAATTTGGGCCCTTAGATCAAGCTGATAGTATATAGGATCCGCCGTCTTTACCAGAGTACTTCTCGAGTCCGTAAGAAGGCAGATACTATGCAAAAATAATACTTCAAATTTACACGTATGCATTTCTTTGGTACACCTTGCATATATGAGTTCGACAAATTTCAAAGTTTATCGCTCGCATATTTTACTTAGTCATTAAGTTTGAACTTTATGTGACTTATTTTTGCCTGGACTGCTCTACGTTTGTTGTGTTTATATTATATTTTGGCTGAATTCATCTTTTGCAACGTTATACCATGCGCGTCTGAAGGCTAGCAGCGTTTACTGAAACTAGTTTCCGAGCCTTAGAGCTAGACATCTCTACTTGGAACACATTCCGGGTGACCATACGAAGCGCATGACTGTATACTGTAGGATCTATTAGACGAAACCTCAATCAGACATCACGAAAACGCTCTACTTAGCTGGGAATTAACCAACCTACGGTCGTAAATCGCCTCTATGCACTACAAAATATATCGATGCTATGAAGATAGGTCCCACCCTTCAGTTACAATCACATACAAACCATTGGTCGCATAGTAACAAGAAAAAAATAATCTAGGCACAATATTGGTTTCGGGAATAAAAAGCAAGGATTTTGCGACCATCTTTAGTGCGAGAGAGAGAGAGAGAGAGTAGTTAAACTCTGGTTGAACCGCTTATATAATTTCGTAATAGCCCAAATGGGTCCTCTACTCTAAGCTTTGACAATAACGAGCGCAGACTGCGAGTGAGCCCGATGCGTTAAGCTTAAAATGTAATTGACGATATACAAGCCAGGACCAAACAATGATTTTATAACAACACTTGACCAGATGAGGCCTTGGCGGAAGGACCGAACCTTTCACACCGAAGTCGGATCAAAATTGCGTCGGAATTCTACTGATCGGATTCATGGCCTGGAGAACTAAGAAGCTAACCAAACTTGCAGCAAAAATGTGGAAATAAATCTATCACCAGATCGTTTTTCTGGATAACTTCTACATAGACCCCGCAAAGACCAGTAACTTACTTTGGATGCCAAAATAAATCTCCTACAAAACTCAACATCGTTTGAAGTTGGTTGATAAAAAAAACTTACTTTCTGAACGATCTAATATATGTATATATATAGTGTTTGTACTGTTCATATGTTATAGATCTGTAAGACGATATTACGTTCAAACCTGTTACGGTAACACATTAACGCTTGTCCTCCATGGACAGCGATAATATCTGTGTGCTTAGGGGCTGCAAAGTAAACTGTGTAGCCATTTCGGGCGGATTTAAATGCGTCTAGTACTTAGCAGATTTTGTCAAGAGCTCACTTACGGGCTCTTGACAAAAAAAATCCAGGCTCGAGCTTAGCTGTAAAATTTGTCACGAAGATTAACTTTTAACTTAATCCTAATCTAATGCTAATTCTAGGTCTAACGGTAAACCTAATTCCAACTGTACCTCGAAGCCCGACGCCAGGCCTAATGCTAAGTCTAACCCTCACCCTGAATTTAAAACTAAGCCTTATTCTGGATCTCACCATAAGCGCCTGGCTAAGCCTTACGCCAAGACAAACTTTAAGCCTAGACCTAAGGCTTAATCTGAAGCTCAACTTCATTTTAAGGCTAAGTCTGACCCTAGATTTAATTCTAGAGGTCAGAGTGGAAATAAAGTCAGTCCCAAGCACGAACGTAAACTAATTCTTGGCCTGACGCTGAGCGATGGTAGCTAATAGAAGACCGAGGCGAACACAAACCGTTGCAAAATCTCAGTAGTCCCATGGACCAGCCATCTCAACCAGCTGAGGGCCGATTGCAGCAAGAGGGGCCAACGGTTATAGAAAGCCGTTGCAAGTTGCCAACCGACTACAACATATTTACTTTATCGTTATATGTATGTATGTATGTATGTATGTACAAGAACTTAAAAGTAACGACAATCATGATAAGTGTTTAAAGCAATTTGTTGGCTTTGCATAATACGTGTCTACGTGTCAGCCTGTCAAACTCCAATAATTTTCAAAGTACCCAATATTAGCAGATGAAATTTCACAAATATCAACGATTTGGCCATCCACTAGGGACATAATGAACAAAGAAGCAAGCATATCGTCGTTTCGTGGTGAAGATCAACCCCCATTTCTGTTAACTAAGCGCCTGGCTAAATGAAACGTAGCACGATTATGAACTCTATTTTTGAGCCGCCATTCGGCCAAAACGGCCGTATATATTTGTTTTCATAATATACTATGATCTTAAGGAAAACCATATGCTACATGTCTTTAACTAATCTGTCGCGAGCCGTGTGTCTTCGTATAAGTCCCGCTGATTTCAAAGAAAATGACAAAATCTATGCGATTATAAGGGTTGCTTCTGTTTGCCTAGTCTGCTGCTCAATGCAACGAAGTCCTCTCAAAAACAACAATCGTCGCAGCACTATCGGTTTTTCCCAGCCTTGCTGATCGTTTTCTGCCAGCTATTCGTCTATCAGATGACAAGTGCTTGCAGAATTTTTCGCCCAATCTTCAATTCGAAATGCTACAATAGCGCGTTTCCCTCGTACCGAAAAAATATCTTCTTTTCAAGCCTTGGTACATAACGTATGCGTAACTTTTCGAACACATTTATAGGATCTAGCAGTCTTTGTGAACTTCGTTTCTTTTAGAATGTTCTTCAATGCGGGTTCTCTCGAAGCAGTTAACTGAAAATGTTGTATTTGGAGCCTCTATAGCCAAATTTAGCTGGAGAAATACTTCGATGCACAAAAGATCCCTGTAGAAATGTTTGCATGAATATTCATATATGGTTTCGCTGGTCCTAGCCATGATTGAAATATTAAAATATAATTATAATAGAGTTTCTTTCAGAAACACATCACTCGAATACGTTGTCAGCCAAAAGTTATTGCAATAAACTGTTTTGTACTGTATATATATATGCTAAAAAATTTACATTTTGATTTTTGGAACTAATTTTTTGCTAAGTCAAATCGGGCCTACAATGTGACAGCATTGGCTATACAGGATACCGCTTTGATTTTTTTTTCCCCGAACTGAGAGGACGACATCTTTGATTCTGCGCGGTGAATAGATAGACGACGTAGCTAATATTCGATATGTTATGGAAACACAATATGGACATTTAGGATTTTTCATTTCATTTTGTGATTTCAGCACTCTTCATTATTTGCCTGTAATAAAAACTCAGTGCCCAGTTTGTTCGGCCTATTCGTTTGAGAAAACTACAAGCGACAATCGTAGGATTGGAAATAAGAATCACATATTTTTGTAATTCTGCCTTTGGTTGAAAGCCAGAAGCCGGCCATTTTGGTTTCAGCCATTGGAGGACGGAGCTGTACCCGAAATTTATGAGGTGTTATAGCGTTTGGGCGTTTTACTTAAAATCTGCATTTTCTGACGCGAAAACAAACAAGTGGCGCTTTACAAAGTATATTATGGCTTCCTAGTTCGATAACTAGATTTTAGAATCGATCTCTATTTCTGTAATTTCTACTTATACGCAGATACTATTTTCAGCTCTGCACTATTTTTATTAGGTATATAGATAATGTGAACACTTTTTAGATATACTCGACAAATGGTACAGGCCTGTGAATTTACTCATCCGACCTGCAATTGTCCACACAACTGCTTTTACCTATGTCACTAAGCTTTAGTAGACTATCTGTAATAATAACGGGTATATATATGTCGAATTAGATGGTTCATTATTTTCCCGAAATATCCAGTCTGTTGGAGCAATTTAGATCTGGCTGTCACTGCCACGCCAAGAAGAGATAGCAGACTGGAAAATAAGGCAAAATTTAAGAAACCTCCGCTTATTAATGTAACTACCTAAAATAGGCGAAATTAAATAATCGAGCCAGACTAGCAAAATACCGTTTCTGCGAATGTTTTGCCAACTAATTAGATTGTCCTGACACCCTAACCTTGTTCATCTCGAGCAAATCTAGCGATCACAAAAAAAAAAACACTTCCGGACTTTTGATATTATCACACTGTTGGATTTATACATATATGTATTGCTTTCAAGTGATGTTGGACGACGTTGGAGAAAAACAGCAGCGGACTCTAATAACCTTTTTCTAAAGCTGATTTGACGCTTCCGCAAATTATATCGATCGTTAGCCTGATTTATATGATAGTATATAGAAAACACTGACAGGAAAATTGGCTCTTCTACTTCGTTATAATTCGACTGATATCAGATAGGCGTACCTATCAGATATCAGATAGGAATACCTTTTTGTTTGAAGCCTGAATGGCGAAAAATCCAACACCCTAGTATATTAACTTTTAGCCCATATACACCTTACAAATTACATAACATTCACTTTTAATATCAACGTTCACATATTAGAAGACGGGGTAGCCTACTTAACTCCTGGCCGTAAAACCTTACGGTCTCACAAAAATTAGACGTTACTCAAAAGCCTACCAGCTATGACTTCGCATGTTGGCTTGCCAAACCTAATATTTGTTAGCTCGATGGTGACTTGCGTCTGATATGCTCGATTTTATAATTACACGAAATCTACCTCCGAAAAGAAAAAAAAACTTTAATACAATAATAAATACATAACATTGAAGAGGATATTTAAATGGGTCGTCAAGTATATATTGCAATATTCATCTACATAAATTCTATCAATACGTCGTGACCAAGTCGGGCTTTAGCTTTTTCCTGTTTTTTTTTTTTTTTTTTTTATCTATCTAGTCATCAATTATACACGTTGCCAGGGGTAACACACGTATCTAAACGTACGTATATGTATTATGACTAACTTATATATATATCTCATATACTGTTGAATTTATTTATTTTTGCAAGAATCAGGACCCCTCAACACTGACTGATTAGCTTCTAAAAAAACACGGAGCTGAACATAACGATTCAAACTAAAATACTATTATTTTCATTTATCAAAAAGAAATTAAACATGAGGCAATACCGACTACTGGATTATGCAGCTTTCCTTTCCGAAATGAATGGATGCTAGCACTATGTTCAGGTACTACTCGTTCAGGACCTGCCAACGCATTCTACTAAGTATATTATTAAAAAGAAGCCCAATATAAGTATTTCCTGTTCAGACTATACGTACCAGTGATCTTCGAGCAACTGTGGGTTCGTATAGGAACATATGGGTTCGCGTCGTACGAAATCACAATGACGTATCACAATGGTGAAGAATAAACAATCATACACGTCAGCTATGCAAAGGTTACATTTGCAGAATGCTTTTTACTCTGGTAATTCTAATGGTAAGATCGTGACTTTTTGGGTTTAAGTTTTTCTCAGATAGTGATGAATCTGATTAGCAATGGCTCGAATTGCAAGAATATATTCACTGATTTATTTAATAATATTGACGTATTTTTATTTTTAAGGCTATTATACGATGCTACCTGGGTAAATGGATCAATGGGTCTTCAAATTCCTGGGGCAAACATGCAGTTCAAACTGCACTGCAAACTCGGTATTTCCATGAACAGTCACAACGAAAACTGCGAAGAGCTGGCACTTTAAGCAAAAATGAGTACTTAATCACCTATTATATAATTAATAATATATTTATCTTAACTAACTCCACGCCCATATAAAATACGATCAGTAAGAGCTGAAATATATGCTTGCATCCATATGGGGTGTTTCCTCCCAAGCTCGATCAGTTAAGCGGTGGTTATACTTCAAAATCAAAGGCCATGGAGAGGTATTAACCGGCACCGTACAATAACTGTTAAGAAGTTTAATATATGCTAGACGATTTGGCAAATATTATTTGAGTCACTCTCTCGGGTTTGGGCTAGAGGAACGCAGGAAGGTTCAGCTATTGTTAACAGTTTTTATAGGGCCCATAACGCCTCTAAGCCGATACGAGTCGAAGCTTTAAAGGGGCTGGTGTCAACAAGCTTTGCAACATTGTGGAATCTATCACTGTATTCATCTATTCTAGTTTACTGTTTTTAAAAGCTAGCACTAGGGTAAATTTGATTGACAGGAACATGAAGTCAGCGCCAAACTAACACACACACGTAAAACCTATTAGACGCCTGTCTACTTAACAACAATGAAACGAACATCCAATAAATTATTGCAAGCAATGGTACTTGATAAAATATATTTTTCTCTAAAAATTAACTCCTGATATATATATATATATATATATATGAATTATTACTCTCGTAAGATTAAACTAAATAGCTGTAAATAAAATGGTAAATAACATAATACTCTATGCAAATGGAAGTCGAAGGAATATTTGAAAAAGTCCATGAAACGCTGTACAATTTGCTTTATCAAGAAGCTACACATGATTCTATCGTGGACGAAAACGGTAGACAATGTATATTTTTGCAGATTCGGAGATTATGGAGTAGAACACACGCAGGCCCTGTTATACCATCCATAAATAAACGGCCTTCTGGAAAATATCGACATTTTACTACTTGGCCACGTGACTATACTGTTATGTTCGTTTTTTTTCTATACTTAAATTTACCCCGGTTGTTTTATTCAAGTATATTCATTAATCTTCAACATTTCTCCAGGCTAAATAATAATAAACTATAGTAGTAAATAGGCTAAACAATAATGAACTACGAGACGCAGACAGTGTTTAAGGGCGAACAAATTGCACTCCGCAATTCATTATTGGCACAACCGTCTTAATAACGGAAATTCGAAAGTTGGAATCCACAAGGGGAGGCGGATAAATCTCGACGCGAACATTGCGCCCATCGTCGAGTCAATATAAGGTTTCTCCAAGCAAGTGGTATAAAGTCGTAAAATGAAGGATCGAAGTTACAAGAGAAAACAACAGATGCGTTCATTATAAACCAAATGGCGACACGTTTGCCATGCCACAGAATTTTTTTTCGATAAAAAAAAACATGCCTGGAGCACATTATCACCTTTAACGAGATATTGGTCAGTTTGTCCCGTCTGCTAAAGAGGAATTACATCGAACAAGAAGAAAAGCGATTTAAGTACCAGTCCCAAATAGATTCAGGAGTACGTTGATGCTCATACTAACAATGGGCGTCAACAACAATTGTTATCACGAGATGATGCCGGAAGAAGAGACGCTCGACGACCAGCTGGATATATTGAATTTCTACGAAGCTTCGTGGATGGGAAGCATGACAGTCGACGGCATATAGCGTAAGCCGCTTGACGACAAGCTATGACCTCGTTGCGACGCTTCTATTATTTTGTGGGTCAAGGAAAGCAAAACACACCGACAGCCTCAGACCTCGTGTTCTCCACATCCAGATCTGTTATTTCTCTTACTTGCGTTAAACTGATACTAGAGTCGATTCCCTTACGCAAGCAGTTGATAAAGGGATTCAACCCGATGCTATAAATCACAAGTAAGCAGCTCTTGAGAAGCTTGTCGAGGTCTGACGTGCTTAGAGAGGAAGGAATATATCTTGCATACACTAGCTGTTCTACCTCGCATGGTTTCAAAGCTGTAGAAATTTTTTAACCGACCCGCTAAAGGATTCCGGATAACCTAATATCTACATACTGTTAGTATCATTGAGCCGTTCGTATTGTTCGATTCACGCTAGACGATCTGCTGCCGAAAAACATTAGGTAGGAAGCCAGTTTAACAACAAAAAGGAAAAGAAGTTTATGACTTTGCTTCTTCATTTCATGCCAACATAAATACGTTTTATTTCTCTATTTTTTTAGTATGTACAATCTTCGATAATTTATTAGGTTAAGCTGCTTAATTCAAACATTCTCTGTACAACAGATTTGTCCTCCTGATGAAGACACCATCAGCAGCATCATTGCCGCTAAGTACTATCGCGTCTATTATTTCCTCTATTGGCTGCTCCTTTAATTCTTCCTTCATTACATCTGCATAAATACTCTTTATTACCTCCCCGTGCACGCATTTCTATCTCTGCTGGTGAATTTCAACCCTGGCCAGCCTTAGCGTGCCTACACGTGCTGTTACCTACGTCCAATATAGTTTGCTCACTATAAAATCTAACGATCGGGACGATAGAATCTGTCGAGTTCCTCAGAACAACCGTATACCTGCCCTTTATCCGCACGCTATCAAACGCGTACGAAAAAGCGGTTACGTCACGATTTAACGCTTAGTCATTTTTTTAGGAGAGCTAACATTGCTGCTCTGGGACTTTCACCGCTGCAAAAGTAAAAAGTACAACTTACAAGCTTGTTAAAAAACATCTTCCACAGATTGGGACTGTTGCATGTTACAACAACTATAAGCTAGTTTTTACAATGTGAAACTTCCTTTTGTACTTACATCACCCACAGTAAATCTAGACGCATCCGCACGTTGAACGCACTTGGCTCTGCGGTGATCACACGAATCATTTAGCAATTCCAGGAAAATGGTAGTCGTCCCGACTTCGTTAATTCGTTTATTTTTTTTCTCAATAAATCATTTTACGATAATAAATTTAGCTCTACTTATATATCTATACTGTTTCATCGATCAAGTTCGAATCGGTCGTTCGCGTTCTTCGTTGCGTTTCTATAATCTAAACTATTTACATTTAAATTATGTCTTTGTTACTACACTAGTCCATTAGCCACCTTAGCGAGCAATTATTATTACTTCAAAGTTTAATATATTAGTGACTTGTCTCCGGTATATGGTACCTAGTAACACCATCAGGTACGTTTCATATACGAAGAAATTTGGTGTTTCTATCTGATCGAGCAGAACATGACCTCGCCTGTGTAGTTCAGGAGCCAAATAGTTCGTATAACCATATAGCAGAATGACCGTAAGGAAATAAATTCAAGCAATATAATAATTTCTCCATCGACACAAAAGCTGCATAAGAAAATTGTGCCATAACCGACAACACACTAAAAGCAATAAGAAATCAAAGGCGAAGTATCGATGAAGGCACAGTACGTCTATTGACCATGCTATGCTCGACCATATTCTCGACCGGCATCGTCTTCAATGCTTCACCTTGCAAAAGCGTAATTAATTCAAATGTAATAATGGTATAAGCAAATACTGAAAAATGAATAAATAAGGGGCCAAACATAACCAAATACACACTGTACATGGACTACGACAATTATACGAACCCTACGAATTCTTGTACCTTGTTCATCTTGGACGCTTCCACGTTTCGGTCGTCCTTGTAAGAAGCGTCGTCATCAGCGTATCGTCGTGGCTTTATACTTGTACTTGAGACTTTCTCGATATGTACATATCAGCCTTACATCTTGAATATGCCATTAACGTTCCCCTGAAGGCGGGTCCTACCCGTAGATCCACTCCTGTCCCTTATTCAAATACACGCTGCTATTTCTTGCTAGAATCATTAACTAACAATTACAATCATTTTTCACAATTAATGAAGGCGGGGTTTCACCATCATTAATTTTGATCTCCTTCGCTGTCGATGTCGGAACCCGCGGTATGTCTACCCGTTTACCCTTCTTCAAATCGTCGTGGAAGTTGTTTCTCGAATAATAATAACAGCGAGAGTGGCTCTTGCCGATGCTGAAGTCAGCCATCTCCTTACCACTTTCTGATATATTGAGGTTGGCGTTGCTTTCATCGTAAGGTGATAGGTTGTTTATTTTGCGCATCGGCGGTTGCATTAGGCGAAGGTTATTTGCACCTGTTGGCAGTGGGTGGAGGATTGTTTTTACGTGGGAGTGCTGCCTTCGAGGGCACATCTTGTAGGCAAGAATGAGAATTGCTAGGAACAGCAGAAGTAGCAGCAAGCTAATGCAAATCAGATATACTGAAATCGCCTCTTGGGCAGCTGACGATGCTGCAGGCCTCAGTGTGTAAAGTCCCAATTCGGATACAGAATTCAGCACTGAAGAATTACTTGTTCGCGTTCGTATGACATCAGCGAGACGTTTCGCCTGTAAAACAGCTATAAGTTCTTCGCCTGTATGAAGTGGCGACAATAGAACTTCAAGCATCGTTCTTGATCGCGCCACACACCCAACGGCCAACTGGTGACCCTGGTGCCCCGACAACGCTCGACTGACGTGCGCGCATATCGATTCGACTGTAAAACCATCAATTGCTCTGATCCCTGTTTCGTTTTCAATGTCTGTTGTGGGCTTTGAGAAATCCAGTGCAAGTTTAGCCGGACAGCCTGAGGCGTCGTTAGGGCCACAGCGTTTTGAGAAAACCATCGGGGTTATTGTTCGGGCATCCGCTCGAGGTCGGCATTCGGAATGAGGACGGCATGGTGGGGAAAAGCATGTTTCGCCTTCTGTATACACGCACTCCAACTCAGTTGACTGTAATCGACAATTACCATGCGAATTATATAGATACCTATATTTACATAATTCGTGTACAAACAAACGATTGCAGACAAGCCAACGCTCAATCGAATTTCGATCTAATATCTCTAAACACCTACATATGTGTGCGTGCGCATGCTCTTAGCTACGAGTGGCTCTTTGTTGCGAAAAAACGGTTACGTACGTTATGGCTGTTATAGGTTATCGCAAATGAGAAATATAACTGATCAGAGAAATGTACCACATCTAAAATCTTGTACAAAGCTGTCAAACTCACGGAGCAAGAACTATCCGGCTGTCCAAGGTCACACTCGTCAGTGTCACATAACTGCCTTTCACAGAGAATCTGACCTCCATCTAAGCAGCGGCAGGTCGAGCACTGTTTAGGCTCAGACCAGGCATCACCAACGTTGTGACTTCGTTCATTATACAGACAAATAGCGGTCGGACTTGCAAGCTGAACCAAAAGCACCTCGCAACTTCTACCCGTTCGACCAGGAGGACAAACGCATCGAAAGTCATTGACCTGCAACCGGACAAAAACTGTGTTTAGCAATTTGTCGTCAAGCGACTCGTTAGCCGGTAAAAGGGATAAGACTACAATATATTCAACAACGTTGACCTTACCAGTGACAATATTTGAAGACATGATTAGTGCGTCAATCGACGGCACGCTTGATTATGCAGCAGAAGTGTACAATATAAACGCAAGTTTGCACCTTTATAGTTTTGTTAGGTCGCTTCAATGTCTTTTAATGTCATACCATATCAATACAGGTTCCCCCACCATGACAGGGAGCAGACAAGCATTCATCGATATCAAGGCGGCAGTCAGCACCGCTGAAGCCGGGGGTACATAAGCAGCTGAAGCGGTTCACGCTGTCTATGCACGTCGCATTGTGGAAGCACGTTGCTCCCAAGCAGTCATTAATATCTGTAATGAAAAACATGTAAAAAGAATTAAAGACGACAACTATAATTTCGCCTAACAACGGCAAAGTTTCAATTAACACTAACATAGTTGAACCTCGCGCTTAAATATGCGTAATCAAACATTAATCTAATAAAAAGATCCGATAAACAAACCTGCACCACTTAACAAAAGGGAAAACTTGCAAGCTAAAATTAAACCAAACAACTTCTTGCAAATAGCAAAGTCTACTATAATTTGCAAAACAAATCAGTAACGCGATGTTTTGGCTTATCATTTAGCTATTAATCAGTAGGACGCAACTTACAAATTCTATATGGCGCAGGAATATTTAAATTATACCAACCCTTGTAAGAGAAACACCCCCTACAAGCACTAGAGAAACTCCCTTGTGGGTAGAAAGTATCGGTGTTATACTTAGCTTTATTGCTTTTAAATCTCTATTCTAACATAAAGGAAACTGCTGTTTATTGCTCAGGTCACGCATCTTGAATGGTTTCAAACGTTTTCCTAATTATAGTAATCAATCAACATCATTTACTGGACTCATCTCAATACGCACTCTGCTCGCACAGGGGGCCAATAAAGCCGTCAGGACACCAGCACTGATATCTTTCATCGTCGACATTTACGCAAGTTGCCCCATTTTGGCACGGTCCAGCTTCACAGGGAGCCCGACGACGTTGTTGACATCGGCTGCCCACAAAGTCAGATGTACAGGTGCAAACAAACATGGAATCGATATTTTGACATGTGCCACCGTTTTCGCAAGGTGAAGTCGCACAGTGACTTGGTGTAGTTAGATTACAATACGGTCCTTTAAGGCCAGAAGGACAACGGCAATAAAAATCATCGGCCTTAAGCGGTACACACTCGCCAAGGCCGCAGGGTGAACCGTCGCAAGGGTCCACACGCTGTTCGCATCGTTCACCAATAAAGCCCCGAGGGCAGGCGCAAGTAAACGACCCAACCCGATCTAGGCAGGTGCCACCATTCACGCACGGCGAAGATGCACAGTCGTCGATATCTACGATGAAAAAAAATGAAACACAATGGCCAACGTATTAGACTTCGACGCAAACCTGGCACAATGTCGTAATGATAATGACGCATAATATACCATATTCAAAGGTCTAGTCACACCACACAACCGTAAACTGTAGTTTGCGCATTATTATTAAAGTAACGCCAATGCGTATAACACTTACTGATGTGACATTGCTCTCCGGCATATCCCAGATCACATTCGCAGCGAAACTCTCCATGCCTCGCTGGACCACCGGAATTCCGATCTTCAGATGCGGATACGCAATGGCCATGCGGTCCACAGATCTTCGTCGAAAGGAACTCTACCCGGCCAAAACGCTGATGCCTTACCGCTACCAAACATCCGTCGTATTCCACTAGAAGACAATGAACAGTATGTCCGTTTGTTAGTCTAAAAACTGATAACCTGCCCTGAAGATCCTTTACAGTGGACTTTTCGAGCTCTCAGAGCTGAAGCTGAAGTGCGTGCAGCAAAGCTTCATTTACTTCTACTGAAATTTATTCACGGCAGCATTTTCTTACCTTTTAGAAAATCAATTGCAAGATATCATTTTCATAGATAGAGCAAAAAATTATGAGCAAAACAAAAAAATCAAAAGGCAAACATTTAATCGAGATAAACTATTTACGCTTCGTTTGCTGGGGCCGATATCCTGGTTCGGAGTGCTCGCAGTTTTTACCGAATCGACCAATCGGACAGGTGCACCGATAAGAATTAGCGGACGAGCTTTTCTCGTAGACGCTAATTGAGGTTAGATCCCCGTCAGTGAGAATTTGGCATTCCCCTCCGTTACATGGGTTAGGTCTGCATGGTCCAATTCGAAGTTCGCACTGCCTTCCCGAGAAGCCTCGAGGGCAAGTGCATTGCCATTGGCCGCTTCTAGGATCAGAGGAACAGGTTCCACCATTGAGGCAACGTAAATAGTGGCAGGTATCCACCGGACGAGTACAATTGACACCATGCCATCCTGCTTGACAAGCGCAACTATACCCGCCAATGATGTTCACACAACGCCCGCCATTGCTGCACGGAGCAAACTGGGAACACTCGTCGATGTCTGCAACAGAAGAATTATAATTGTCCAATGCGGGTTTATCAACGTTAATAATGGCAAGTAAGTTGACAGGTACGCGGCTTCGATCATTGTTTACCCGTTTGTTGAGAACATGCAAAATTCCAAGTTTTGACACTGCAAAGTACCTTATATAATATTAGGTAATAATACTATTACCACATATTAAAAATGCAGATTATACAGTAGCCATCACATGTTCACACATTTGACAAAGGAACTACATATGTACCATAGAGGAAAACCGTGCTTAAACCGTTATATTCTTTATTTTCTCATTTACAGAAGATGCAAACGGGGCGTTACCATATTGACAGTGATGTCCGGTCCATCCCGGAGTGCAGGTGCATTTGGCGTTGCCCTGGGAATCTTCTGAACAGTGACCGCCATGATGACAAGGATTTGACGCACAGCCGGGGAGCGCTGTCAGTGCTGCATCGGATAAAAACCAGCCCGTTAGAAAACCTATTAAGCAGGTTAAGCAGGTGAACTCGCGCAAACGTCACCAGCAGCGCCATCATGCGGATGTGCTATCTAAGAAAGTAGACATCAATCTTCATAGGGAACCACGCGTTCATCTACATTTAATTTGCATTGGTACAGCTTAGCTGAAAGCTTAGTTGTCCACCTAAGAGTCTAAACAATGGGGCAGTTTTTGAACATTTCGAAAATTCAATATCATCTCAATAACTGCAAAATAATTGTGGCAGGTTTTTGCATCAAAGGCGAATCTGGAAAATCTTCTTTTGGTAGCAAAGAATCAAATGATAGCACCGGAAGAAGACACAGTTCGACAAAGGCTTACCTTGCTGGCAGGTTTCTCCTGCCCAACCTTGAGCACACTCACATCGAAATCCTGTGCTGGTGTTGTCAGCTTCAAAGCATTGCCCTCCATTAGCACATACAGGCGACCCATCTACACGTTCACAGGCTCTATATGATTACGGACGCGAAGTACGACGACGGTTATAACGGCAAAACGTATATATGGTGAATTATATATGTACTGTATAGAGCTAAATATGGCCAGTTTCTATAAGACGTATACTGCTACTTCATTTTTAGATTTAGCAAAACACCTTTAGTTTGGTATAGAAAACTTGCCTGCCACTGTAGCAAAGTAGTCGGAACGGCCAGACCCGCAAGCACAACAAACAAGTTTGCAAAATGATCCCTTCTAGTGCCAGTTTACCGTGATAACAACCCGAATATTATAGAACCTAATTTACCCGCATGGTTTTTAAATTATTTTTCACCGCACCATAGGCAGTGAGCGCAATTGTAATTGTCCAAGTCGGAAAAATCAAAATGTGACACAATTTACCGCTCCATTTAAACATACACATTATTTCTTCCCCACATACGTATAAATATTTTCGTTTGTTTCTATTTGTGGTTTACCTATAGAGATGTTTGCTGTTACTGTCAAATTCACAATTTCTACCGAAGAAACCCTCGATACATGAGCATCGATATTCGTTAGGTGCGATATTTCTGAAACAGGGCCAAATTGATATTACAAGTCGTTATTTTCTAAACTCTATTATTAATAAAAAATGGTCATTCTGAGAAAGGTAGAGAAAGCAGGGGGCGGGAGGAGGTGGGGTGTATAGACAGTGTGAATATTTTAACATAAAAAGAATGAGGTAAGTATGGTCATTGCGCAATTTATTGAGACTCAACAATGACCTGAATGGCGACGAACGGTAACAAATGCTTCCGATCTTGTTTAAAGAGTTAAGGGCTTTATCTCAGAGGCTACAAGAATGGAAATCCTATCTATAAAATTGTATTTTATTTGAGAGCTTACAAGACGGCCCAGTTAAAGATAAACCTTTGACCCCCTTAGCGAATCAAACAAAAGTTCCTAAGTTGCGTTGCAAGGACAGAAAAAATAGTTAATATTTTCTTTGACTGATAGAAGGATTATCATAGCGATGAAGGCACTTAAAAAAAATCGACTTTCACGATTAAAATATACCTGCAGATTCCCCCGTTTTGGCAAGGAAAAATCCTACCACAAACGTCAAGATCGAGGTCACATAAATGACCTCCCCAATTCCGTTCGCACTCGCACGTCAACGGCTTATCCTGAAAACAACACGTCTAATTGAGGTTATCGGCTTCCGATGAAAAGAAATACGAAACGCACGCGGGGTATAGACACACCAAATCCATTGGGACATTTAACCAAAAAGAAGTAACGATAGAATATAGAATATATATGATTGTGCGCAATAAACTATTGATACAGCCACCTTGTCGCAAGTCCCATGTTTACAGCCTGGATAAGGTACGCAATCGTTGCAGTCCGGTCCGGTCCACCCGTCTCGACACACGCATTTTCCCGGTGCCTCACAGCGGCCTCTCATCAAATTGCATTTAGGACAAAGAGGCCGATCACACTGTACATCTTTCCAACCGTCAGCACATCTACAGAACGGTAATACATGAATAGGAAGTGAACGCAGGCTATGGGTATAATCTAAGAGGTACATCATTTATGGGCTCGTTTTCGCTTCGCTGATGTTAAAAGGTAGGTGGATTCGTTACTCACATTTTAATCCCATCTTGGTTACATGTCCAATGGCCGTACTTGTCGTCACGAGGGGAACACGTCCGTGAACAGTCCTGTCATTCAAGATATATATATATATATATATATTAATATAGAAAAAATCGCGTATACAATGGGAACCGGTTAAGAAGTCGCGTCGCCAAAGACCTTATATGCATGCACTGGGCATTACCGAGTCGTTATTTAACCAAAACCGTGAATACATGCCACTGTTTCAGCTTATAATAGTCAACGGCGTTAAATAAACTAAGAAAAAATGCAGCTTTAATTCAAAATTATCGTTTACCTTTGTGTAATGATTCGGCGCACATCTGAGACGGATACCGTAATTGACGTTTGCAGTATTGAACAATCCCTGAAAAATTAAACCCGGCTTTAACAATTTCTGCTTTTCCTTGACAAACAACTCGAAACTAAGCGGCATATAAAAATTCACTGATACCCGCATTTTCCGCAATTATCGTAGTATAGTCGAATCATGATGTTTGCCAGTTTGCTCTATTGTACAAAATAACGAATAATCAATAAACCCGTTAGACAACATCGATGATAAGGAACAGAGAGTTCAATATGGTAAAGACGAACGGACTCACCTTAGCGTGCCGAGTGTCGATGGGTTTAAAGTCATCTGAGGAACTGATGTTACCAGTATATGATACTCGGTCAATAAGAGGATCGTTTTCTGAAATGTCCCACCCAAACCAAATGGAAAAATATATATTTTTATGGCTTTGTATATATATATATATATAGAGCTACAGTGCGGCCTAAGCCTCTTTCCTTACCGTATAGCTGCCGTAGTTACTGTGTCACAACAAGATCCAGTAGACAAAGGTCATGTATAGCGGGGCAGCTGGGCTGTCACCTCGTGTCACTAGCAACGCGTCGAGGCAATACCGAATACAACTATAAAGCTCATGAAGATACCTAATCAACTAATCTGTAGATTTGAAGTTGGCAGTTTGGCTGGCAGAGATAGAAGCAGGAAGTTATCCTGCTTCCATTCGCAACAAACTTTATTGGGTTGAAAAAAAAAGCAACTTCACAGCTCAGAAGCAAAATCATCATGTTCTTGCTGGTCGGCACTTATAAGAAGACTACAAACGAATGATACTGCCTTACACGAGCATTGTGCAGCTGTAGCAATCGCTACTGGCCACACCCAAACGAAATTTGAGGAACTGATGTTCGAAGCCTTGAACTCTCTCCGGCTTCGCTGCCCATCAGTGAAGTATGCTCCTCTACCTTGAAAAATGGTGTTTCAGATTTTGGTTTTTGCTGACCGTAAAAACAAACTGTGCGGTTTTCTTTGATCAACATATGCAACTACCGGCTATGTAAGTAACTGACAAGTTCAAGTAAATATGAAAAATTGGCTTAAAAAAGAACCTTGGAAGTTTGCTCTTCAACGTTTAAAATTTTCGAATATATGACGTTTCATTTGTCCGAAGTTCGCATAGAAAAAAGTGCAACGTTGATTCCTTAAACAGCGTCCAGTTCTCAGTGAACGTGCGAGGGCAATTCATTTGATGACTCGTATGATGACCGCGCTCGTGACACATATCATGAAATATAGACGCAAAACCGATTTAAAAACACTTTACGTTAGTTATAATGACAGCTTGCTCGAGCTGGCCTTGAGCACTCCACATAGGCCATCGTTTTTTAGGCAAGAATATGCTTACCGTCGTTCCGTCGCCGATAGTTTATTAATACCGTCATAAAAGGATTTATTCCATATTAGCAAATATCTCTGGCTCAATGTGTCTATGCCAGTTTAAAAACACAATGTACCTCTGTACGGTATCTAGATTTCGGAACTGTAATCAACCTAGCTCCGAAAAAAGATATAACAGGAGTAATTGCAACAACATAAAATTTCGAAATTCTCGTTTGATATCTGACATCCTGACGAGTTGTGTGAATAGACCAACACGTAACTCGTTATAAGCGCGTTTTTCCATTCAATTTTGAACAGATAGATGTATAAAACGAGTGAAAAGCGAGAGTAATAAAAGGAAAGTGGTGATGATGCCAACCGTTAATACATTGGCATCATTAATATAGGAATTTAATTTTTGAAATGTTACCGTGTTCAAGGGTGCTCACCTCCGCGGCCTCATACACACACACACACACACACCATACGATGCAATTAAACGAGCATCCAGAAATTCTGCGAAAATTACTTCAAATCAACAATCACATTAACGACAACCACTATTATGAGGATAGTTGAGGAGGCCCAAGGAACATCGACAATGATTGCATATATATCGACAAGCCAAAGTATTCCATTAAGGGAGAGCATGACCGATCTGGGGCATTTTTAGGCAATACTTGGTCAGCGCTGAAAGCTTCGAGGTTCTTCTTGGCTTGTGTTGTGTTACCATTCTGTTAAACCGCGCTGCTTGATAGTTGGTCGTACACTGCTACAGGCAAATAGCACAAAGAAACTATGCTGTGGTTCGCTTTCCTTCGACAGGACACCGTCATCCCGACCTTTCTTAGCCTGAGGTAATAATATTGGGCGGACTGTTGTTACTACTTTTGGCTGAGGCCAACCTCGTTCGCATCGTCCGCTGTACCCGCCATTCCGTCTTGACCATTGGCGGCGCCTTGACGTTACCGAATGGCAAGTCCTCAATGCCTTCTGTTCTACTGGCTATCAGCAGTGCAAGTTGACAGGATAGGAAAAAAGAGGTTAACAAAGTGATGCGAAAAGGTAAGGAGTAGTTAAAGAAAATAGAAATGATGCCGCCGGACTATGGCTCGCGACGCGCCCCCGACGAGCGCCATCTGGTTGCCGACGTCAGGGAAACAAACGACTGCCACCGGCTAGCGGCCGTAGCGGCCGCGCTAGCAGTTACTTGGTACGCTGTCAGTTTTGCTGTCGTAATGTAGCAGTATTAGCATCAGGAGCGGCAGCCGCGGCAGAAAGACTACGACGTAGCGATCATCATTTCATCGTTTGCTGTTCTGTCCATCGACCAAATGGTGACTTCATACACTTCGCCGAACTACCTTTCCCGCAGTTTCCGAGAACAACGCCATCTGTGGCGATAACATTCGATATTGTTGTTGGTTCTGTTATTGCCGTGAAGACCAATGATTTCAAGAGATAGCAGAGGCAATGCGTGCGTGTTTCGAGTACGACGCTTTAGGCAGGCCCGAATGCAAGTTTTGCTGCAGGGTGCTCTACCCGCAAAGCTATTCACGCAGTGTACTATGAGTAACTTGAAAAGAGGGTACGACACGAACATTCGTGTCTATTCGGCCTCTGCCAGTTATTTCACAACGATTTTTTCGTGCATAGAACGAGCGGAAACTCTTCCATGTAGATCGTCTCTACTGCAATCGGGGACAGTAATAATAATATGATCTCTTAACGCTGTCGAAGTATCAAGAAGGTCTCGTCAGAAACTCATGCCTGCGTGTGATAAAAGCAACTAAACAAAACCAGAACAAGGGAGTCTCGCAGAGTACAATATTTCTACAAATAATCCTATTTAATGAGCAAACGCCGGCTAGCATTCATATCATTTCATAGGACATACATGTGGTTACCATTTCGGCTGATAATAATTCGGCATGAGGATAAAGAAATAAAAAGATCTGACTGATCAGAAAAATGATAATATAATTGATTTTCTTTATTTATTTATTTAACGTTTTCGAAATAATTCTGGGTGATGACGTAGGCCGCTCGTAGTGGCTCGAAAATAAGATAAGCTTTTTGGAATATTATATGATACAATGATGAGCCACGCACACAGATGCGTGCTTATAATTAACTATACAATAGCACTAGCGATCATAATATTTAGTCTGATAACCACAAAGGCCAGGCAGAATGATCAACGAAGTCATCAGCAGATCGATTCGTTTCGATGAGACCGTCTATCGGCAATTGATGATGTGATATTTATACTACGTGCCCCCATGAACAACAACTATATGAAGGAGGGCTATAAGCCTAGAGATAAACCCGAAATTATCGTTCCTCCCTTTCGCGAAGATATGTGCTAGCTTTCAAAATCGTCTTACGAACAGTTACTAGCGCGCTATCCTCAACGCCACGAATAGCAGTAATGCGCGATTACGGGCACGTAAACTATTACAGTATAGTACGATAGAACCAAAGACGCGTTCAGTGTGGAAATCATTCTAAAAGGATTTTTTACTAAGAAACGTAGACTTCAACGAAAACAACAAAGAAGATCCATCGACAACGGAATATATTACCGAGCCTTTCGGGAAAATTCTACTCATCTTCTAAACAATTCCGATCGTTAGAAACGCTGTCGTACTTCATTCGGATATCTGTTGTAGATATATCTTAAATCAGGTCGCCCCTATTGCTTCTATCAGAAAAAATGTCCTCAGCCCTAACAAGCAATCCCAAAGTAGACGTGTCCTATATTTCTGTACACTGGCAGATTTTCGCGCTACTGAGTAACCGCTTTATTAACGACAATTGAATTGAGTAGAATGAAATAGCGATGAAAGAAATAGCTGGTTGACCATATCGCTGTACCGACCTCAGCCATCATTATTGTCATCGTTGAAGAACAATTGAGGTATTTAGAGTAGTTCATGGTTTTCTACCTTGCTATTTCTGCAGCCGCAACTTTAATTAATGGTCTAAGTCATCGAACCAAACCGTGCAGAACAGCTACGCTCACCACTTTGGGTAGATTTATTTGAATTTTTCGCTCAGACTGCGGCCGATACGAACAAGCGTATCGACTTGTGAGCGACCATTATATATGTGTATAGAAATGTCACACTGCGATAAGCGAAAACCGGTCTGAAAGCGGGTCCTCCAGGACGACGAAAAGCATCTAAATCAAGGACTAAAAGGAGACCAAAACTGGAGCGTTTTGTCTCTGAAGTTCTAACTGAAGACCAGATTAAACTGAAATGAAAATGCAAACGAATAGCTTCCTTTTTGGCGCCACCTTCGCATCCTTAGTCGTCCTTCTTTTTATCGGCTTTGTAACGTCTAATGGCTCCTTCTGGGAGCTCTTTTTCGCCACTCACAAAGTTGTTATCGTTGCTCTCTTCAGTTGTTTTACTTTTCAATTCACTCGATCGACTCAAAGTAAGTCTTCGCTTTGAAACCCACCCACATTGGGGCTCTGAGAGATGGGAGAGGACGAGGGGGTGAGGAAGAGACTGGAAGGGAAATGGGATTGCGCTAGTAGCAGAGGCAGCGGATATACGTTATGGACGACCTGTCAAAATGAAAAACTCACCTGAGTCGCTTCAGGATCTTTAAGCTAAAATCAGCGAGCTTATTCCTTTGATTCCTCGTACTTCATCTCTTACTGGGATGAGAAAGGAATAAGTGCGAAAGTGCGGTTGATCGTCCCTTTGAGAGGTGAATTGTTTCTGCGGTTGAAGGAACCACCGCCCGATCGGATCGATGCGGACGACAGGGAAACATACACACCCATCGACGATATTATCAAGTGTCGCTAGTAACACAGACACCCCACCAGATCGCAAACTGCAAACTTCATTAATTCTCGACGACTTATAACGATATCGGCGACGTGCTTATGTACACAGAATTTAAATTCAATAGAGCCCACAGATTAAACCGTTCGGTGTATTTATGTTGAAAGCATGTGTGTGTGTGTGTGTGTGTGTGTGTGTGTGTGTGTGTGTGTTCATGTA